CCTAATTGCCTCCAAGAACAACTGCCTCCTTTGCCATGAGACCAGAACTAGAGGGTGTCCAGCTACCATTACTAAATGTTCTGATCAAAGATTCTATATTAAGAATCCTTATCAAAAGGGGGGAAATGCAGAACATATTTTCAAATTCTCATAGACTCCAGACTTTCTGGCACTGTGGAGCCTGGATAAACCTCTGAAACTATTGCCCTGAGATAATCTTTAAACCTTAAACCAAAAATATCCCATGAAGTCTTCCTAAAACCAAACAGTAGTTTAGCTTAACTAGCAAAGATTGTCTGCTTTGAACACTGCTGCTTTTTTAAGATCTATCTATATGGGATCAAATTGACAGCAGCAACTGGAAGGAATTTTAGAGGTCAGTGAGTTTATGTTAATGGGGGAGGAACAATTCAGAAAAGGAGGGTGAGAATGGTTGTACAACTCGAAGAATGTAATCAAAGTCACTGAACTGTGTACATGTAGAAAGTGTTGAATTGGTGTATGTTTTGCTGTGTATATTCTCAACAACAAAAAAAAAATTTAACTGAAAAAAAACTTCATCTTGAGCCTCACTTGAGCTTTCTGCCACGAACTTGCCTGGTGAGCAGGGTTAGAGACTATGTTCTGCATCTAGTCCCTTTTAACAAATGGGGAAGCTGAGGTTGGACACATCACACCTGGAGTTTGTTGGGGAGCCAGGCACGTCCAGACCAGCAGTCTGGATTCCCAGTCTTCCTCTCTGCACCGCTGCGGCTGCTGCAGAAGCCGTATTAGGGACCAGCCTGAGAGGAAGTGACTGCTGCCTGTTGGGCCAGGCCCAAGCTGCTCAGTGTTGGGGATGAATGCTGCAGGAAGAAGGCAGACATAGCTCTGCTCTTACAGATCTCACAGTGCACGAGTATGGAACAGAGGAGGTCAGATGAGGAAAAGTGCTATGAAGAAAATATAGCAGGATGGTGGGACAGGATTTCAGGGCTGCTGCTCTGAAGAGATATTTATGGATTGAGATCTGAATGAAAGGAGCCACCTAGGTAGCAGAACCACCCCACAAGTACAAAGGCCCTGAGGTGGGAGCCCTCTGTGTATACCTAAGACTAACCAGAAGGCTGGCAGTTCAAACCCACCAGACTGGAAAGGAAGACTGGGCAATCTACTTCCGTAGAGATACCACCTCGGAAACCCAAGGAGAGGTGGCTATGAGTTAGATCTGACCCAAAGGCAGAGAGTTTAGTTTTGGTTTGAAAAGGCCAGTGTGGCTGAGGCCAGAGCCCCAGGGAGTGTGGAGTTGCTGCTGTGCAGACAGGGGAAGCCATTGGAGGTCTTTAAGCAGAGGCAAGAGGGCATCATATTTCTGAGTTAAAAGCTCTCTCCGCTGCTATGCAGAGGACTAGAAAGGCCATAGTGGAAGAGTGAAGAGTATGGTGGCTTGGGAAAACTGAAGTGGGTGGATCTGGGTAGATTTAAGGGGTAGACCTGGCAAGAAGCGATAGATTGGATTAAAGGGCTGACCCCGGTGTTCCTGGCTAGAACTCTGAAAGGGAAGATCGGGTTTGTACATGAAAACCAGGAGTTCCATTTTAGCCACATACAGAGATTTGGGATGGAATCCAAGTGGAGGTGTCAGCAAGAAGCAGAGTCTGATGTTACATGTGAGACAGAAATCAGGGCTGGCGGTAGGCATGGAATCATCATCATATGGATGGTATTTGGGGCCTTATGACTAGACAAACTCTGGTGGCACAGTGGCCAAGGCATTTGACTGCTAACCAGAAGGTTGACAGTTCAAACCCACCAACCACTCTGTGGAAGGAAGACTGGGCAATATACTTCCACAAAGATTTACTGCCTCAGAAACCCAAAGGGGGTTGCTATGAGTTGGAATCCACTCGATGGCAGTGAGTCTGGTTTTTTTTTTTTTTCAGATTTTAGGACTACATGGGTTCACCTGTGGGAAGAGGGAAGAAGAGAAGGAGTCATCAAGGAATCGTCATCCAATTCTGTGCCCAGAAACCCCACTGCTTCCTCTAGTCTGGCCCAGCCCAAGGGAAGGGATGGCCTAAATATGGGCATACTGTCATGCCCTGGGCTGGGTCAGGTCCATCACATATGCTCCTTTGATCATATTTTGTCAACCACCAGGGGCCTTCTGTACTTATGCTTTCCTTAGGGAGGTGATGAGTTTGCAGCTGGCAGGAGGACCCCAGCTCTAGAATCCTGACCTCCTCCTGGCCAACTGGACAAATCAATCCACTGGGATGAGACTAAGGCCCTGCCAGCTCCCAAAGCCTACAATTAGTCTTCCTAAACCCTGTCAAAGGGAGTTCTGGTGGGGTAGTGGTTAAGGCATTTGGTTGCTATCCAAAAGGTCAGCAATTTGAACCCCCAGCTGCTCTGAGGGAAAAAGATGAGGCAGTCTGCTGCTGTCAAGATTCATAGCCTTGGAAACCCTTTGGGGCAGTTCTACTCTGTCCTATAAGGTTGCTGAGTCAGAATTGACTCAACGGCAGTGAGGTTTTTTAATTGTTTTTCTTTAAATCCTGTCACAGGCTGCCCCACCTCCCATCACTAAAAGCATGCCCTCCACTGCCCATGCTGAGGAGCCCATCCAGCTTCTACTCTCCAAGCTACCTGGGGCTCTTCCAGCCAGTTCTGAGCCACACTCTCTAGCCTGTGTATACCACCCTCTCCCAGATTTTTTTTTCTCCAATCATAGCCAAGCCCCTGGCACCTCCACTCCTGCCTGCACTGACCCAGGTGCTAGGGGCTAGGCCCATCTAGGGGGACCTCCTGCTACTCAGCCTCTCAGGTAGAATCTTCATATTTGTTAAGGGAAATCTGAAATCTGGGCTGCATTTTTATCTGAAATCTGATTTTTCATCCCAGGAAGTAATTTAGGATTTAGTAAAATACTATGCCAAACACATAGAACCCAGCCTGAGGCCCTTGGGTTGGTGAGTTGGGCCTTCTTTGCTGGAGGCTGGGTCATCAAGCGTGCTGTCCTGTGGTAGTCTAGCCTCTTTCTTGAAACTCCTCTTTAATTTCCATGGTAGGCACACCTCGTTTCTTCCTCCTTCCTCTCTAACTATTCTTCCTGTTTCCAACAGAGCAGCCTTCTTCTCTACTATTCCAGAGTCCTCTATTTGCCCTGCACAGATGGCCCACGAGTATATCCCTGGCCCAGGCTCCTGTTGTGACCAGCTCCAGATTCACATTTCCAGTGACCTTTTGGGTCTCTTGCAATAGGTGGATGGGCAAGTTTTAGTCCCATAGCTGGGTTCCCATCATGGCACCACCCTCTACCTTCCCTTTTGATCTTTCAAGAGACAGAAGCACAAACTCCTCTCTGCCAGTCTCCCAGTTGTCCTTCTCCACCTATGAGGGCCATCTAGTTAATAACCTTGGGTGAGCTCTCTGGGGTTTCCCTGTTTCCATCCTGTCTCTGCATCCAGATATGGCTGCCATATCTCCCCATGACAGACCCCTTGGATGCCTCCGATACTTTGGGAAAACTGCTCCACAGTGGGCCTTAGGGACCCGCAGGCTCCATCTGGCTCCAACATCAATATCTGGTTGCTGCTTTCTCATTACATACTTGCCTCTGTACCTCTACTCAGCCCATCTCAAAAAAACTTTGTGTTTCAGGAACTGGAGGTCCTTCCTCAACCTGGGTACAATCTGCAAGGTCCTTGGTGCTCCCCAGTGCAGTCTCCAAGGCTCAGCTGGTAGCACGGTCAGAAGCCCATTTTTCTGTTAGTAAATTCGATGGTCTGTCATCACCTTGCCTACGGTCTCAGGTCCTCAAAGTTTACCTATCCTTGTCAGATAGATCATTCAGTGGGTCCTTCTTCCTGAGCAAGGGTCAGGGTCTCCTTTGCAGGAGCTAAGAGTCCCTAGGGACCACTGCACAGCTCTAGGTTCTAATTTGCCTCCCCATTTCTTGTCCAGTGTACCCATTGTACCCATTGCCCCAAGGCAGAAGCCCTGACCTCTGCCCTGATTCAGGCTCAGGTGTACTTGTGCCTCCACCCTGAAAAACACCCAGTCTCAGTTAGTTTCCTCATCTCTGGAAGCTTATTTTCTAGCTTGTTAGGATAAGAAGGGAATCTGTCTGTGAAAGTGCTGTGAAAGGGGTTAGTGACTACTGGAGAAGTGGGGACCAGGGTTCCTCACTCGAAGAAGCCTGCTGGAGTCCAAGGTCATAATTGGGTCTTAGGATGCCCCCCTTTTTGGGATCTCACTGCCTCCAGCTCTCCCCCTCAGAAAACAGCCTTTTCCTCAACCCTGGAAACTGAATGGCCTCGTGTCCTTTCCTGCTCCAGTGCTTTGATCGCCCATATTCACACCAGACCCACTCTGGTGCCTGGCCCTAAAATCACCTACCCCAAAGAGATCCTCTGTCCTCAAGCATCTCCCTGTGATTTCAGCTCTGCCAGAGGGACTTAAAGAAAGACTATTCAGTATTTCCTCAGCACTCCCAACCCTAGACTCAGCAGAGCTCAGGGCCTCCAGGTTTGCATAGGTCTTCTAGAGGGACTGCACCAGCCTCAGCCCACCAGGTCTATCCCGTGAGACGCTGCAGCCTGGAGGCCCCTCCGCAGGACCAATTCTCCTTTGCAGAGTCCTGGGATAATTTTCCTCTCCAGATGAGATGGTGAGAGGTGGTTGCGGAACTACAAGAAATTTCCCTCCCTCATCAATCCACCAAGCTTCTCCGGGGGTCGCAGTCCCACATGCACCCACCTTGACCCACCTTGGAGCCCCATTTGGCTTTGAGGTGCACGGTGGCAGCCACTTGCGCATCACAAAATTGTGTACTTGGAGCATCCATCAGCAGCTGGAAGGAAGGGCAGCTAAGAAATGTCCCCGAGAGGCACCGCGGTCGTCCCCCACCCTTAATGCTGCACCCAGGCTCCCCGGGGCATAACAAGACCCCAGGAAAGCAGCCGAAGGGCGCCTCCCATCCCTTAGCCTCTTTAGATCGACAGAGACCTCCCTGGGAGATGTCCTTGTGCACTTCTCATAGCCCCAGCCGACCACGTGAGGGCGTGCCCTGTGTTAGTTGGGACAATTTAAAGCTCATCCTGCAAGAAGGCTTGGGGCCCCCTGGACCTGGCCAGGGCTCGGGTGTCCCTGGCGTACTTTTGGCTGCGGGCAGCTAAGCTCCAAGCCGTGGGGCCTACCCCCGGGCCCGCGCTATTCGTTCCCAAACGGGGTGCCCCCTTCCGCTCGCTCTCCCACAGCCTAAGGTGCTCCTCTCCATTTCCCTTTGCCGAGCCTTTCCTCGGCGCAGGCCGCTTCTCTGCTGCTCCGTGGCCTCGGGCTCTGTCCTGGGCGCCGGCTGCCCGAGCGGCGGCACCGGGGAGGCGCGGTCCAGGAAGCCAGCGGCCGGGGAAGGGGCTCCAAGAAGCACAAGTTGGCGCTGGCTCCGGACCAGGCTGTTGTTGTTCTCAACGTGGTCCGCCATGGAGCCATAAAAGCGGAGCGGGGCGCCCTTCTAGCTAAAAGCACAGCGCGCACGCCCAGTAAGCCCGGGTGGCGGCGGCGGCGGCGGCGGCGGCGGCGCCAGCAGCGACAGCAACAGCAGCGGCGGCAGCAGCGGCGGCGCTCAGTCGGTTCTGTCCTTACTCTCCGACTCCGACTGTGGCCCAGGTCCGGGCTTTCGCCCCGGCCTTCGGCTCCTGCCCCGGCTCCCGGGCCCCCTCTCCGGCCCCCCTCTCC